TGCTGGGGCGTGAGGGACTCACGCGGACGTCGCTGGAGCTGCATCTGGCCACCGTCAGTAGCAGCAGTAGCAGTAGTAGCAGCAGTAGCAGCAGTAACAGCAGTAGTAGCAGCAGCAGCACGTGCAGGGCAGGCGTGGCAGGCAGGCAGGCAGGCAGGCCGGCAGGCAGGCAGATGGCGCGGTAGCGTTCAAACAAGGCAGGTGCTGACCAGTGGCGGGAAGAGAAGGCGCTCGCCGGGCGAGCAGGGCCGGCGCTCGGCGGGCGGCTGCACGGGGTCCAGGGGCGGCGTCGCGGGTCCAGGGGCGGCTGCACGGAGTCCAGGGGCGGCTGCACCAGGGGCGGCTGCTGCAGGGGCCAGGGGCGGCTGCTCTGGGTTCAGGGGCGGCTGCTCGAGGGTCCAGGGGCGGCTGCACCAGGGGCGGCTGGTTCAGGGGCCAGGGGCGGCTGCTCGGGGTCCAGGGGCGGCTGCTCCAGGGGCGGCTGCTGCAGGGGCCAGGGGCGGCTGCTCCTGGTCCAGGGGCGGCGCTCGAGGGTCCAGGGGCGGCTGCTCTGGGTCCAGGGGCGGCTGCACGGAGTCCAGGGGCGGCTGCACCAGGGGCGGCTGCTTCAGGGGCCAGGGGCGGCTGCTCTGGGTCCAGGGGCGGCTGCACCAGGGGCGGCTGCAGCTGGTGCAGGGCAGCGCGCGGGTCCCACAGGCGCCGTGACGGGCGACGGGGGGCAGCGCGCCGTCACCGGAGGAGGCGACGCGCGGGGCCGGCGGCAGGCTAAAACGGGGCCGAAAAACGGGCTACGCGGGCGGCGGACGCGGCGCGCAGGGCCTAAGCGGGCTGCGCGCGGGCGGCTCACGCGACGCGCGGGCTGGCGGCAGGCTGCGCGGGCGGCTGACGTGGCGCGCGGGGCCGAAAACAGGCCTAAACGGGCCTAAACGGGCTGCGCGCGGGCTGCTTAAGAGGCGCGCGCGGGAAAAAAAGGGCCGCGCGCGTGCAGCCGAGGCGCGCGCGGGCAGTAGGCAAGGTAGGTAGGCACGTGAGGTAGGTAAAAAGTAAACGGTGGGCCCTAATCCTAGGTCCTAAGGACCTATGCTCTAGATGCCATGTTAGAGTCTTAGGCAAGGATGAAGTTTGACTATCGAGAGGATTGGTACAAAGGAGAAACCTAAGGGGTTGTACCCCACAGTGAGTACCCCACTAAGCCTACCCAAACTATAAACATAGATATATGTTTGACAGTTTTGTCCCGTTCATGCACAACAAACTGCTCCAAATGCATCTGGCTGTGTGCTGGGAAGAGCTGAGACTCTCGGCCTGAGAGCCACAGAAGCTTTTTGAAGCTTGTTACTGGTATACCGTATAGACATATGGCGAGGTGCTGGTAGGCTGATTGGTAAGTTGATTTGGTAAGTGCCAGGGAGAATGGGGTATTGTAATGTTGGGCAGCAATTTGTGGGTTTATTGACACGTCAGAAGATTGCGGGAATGAGGGGGAATGGTTTACCATGCATTTGGTGAGAGACAGGCGAATGCGAATCAAATTTGGTGGGAAAATGGACCACCGCCAAATTGAGATGCAATGGGTTGGGTTGATATGGAGGGAGAAATAGGGAGACTGGGGAGAATGAGGGAGAACGTGAGAGACTGAGAGAAAATGAGGGAAAACGAGGGGGAGTGAGTGAGGGAGAATGGGGTACTCAGTGTCTGGTCAGCCATGGGTGAGTTGGGTTGATGGAAGAGTGAGGGAATACGAGGGGGAATGGTGCACTGTATTTCTGGGACGCCATGGGTCGAATGATACAACAGGGCATGGAGGAGAATGATTGGGACTGAGGGAGACAGAGGGAGACCAAGAGAGATACAGGGATACAGGTTGGTTGGTACAGCAGAAGAGTGAGAGAGAACGCGGGAGAATGGGTTGGTTGGTATGGTGGGAGAGTGAGAGAGATTGGGTTGCGGATGCACCTGAATTGCATTAAAAGAATGCATGAATGCCTATCAATTAGTGTTCCAGCTCTCCCCCACATCCCTCAGCAACAGCAAAGCACTGCCCACAAGTCCTACCGTGGTCACACTCCTAATGAAGCCCCTGAATAACCTCACTTTGAGGTGCCTCAAAAGAAGCTCCTGAGTGACCTGTTAGCTGGGCTCCTCCTACTGTCCACCAGAGCTCCTCCTACTGTCCACCACTCCACCACCCTACAACCTGCACCTCCACCCTCCTCCGCCTCCCTCCATCACCCTCCTTCACAACCCTCCTCCACCTCCCTCCCTTACTAACCTATCCAAACCAGCTGGGGCAAGCATACGCCCACTCTTCGTAACCCGTGCCTCCTGCTGCCCCTGCTGCGCTGTCAGCTTGCCTCCTGCCTCGGCTGCCCCTGCTCTGATCCTGCCCCCTGCTCTCCTCCTGCCCCCCGCTCGCCTCTTGCCAATGCTGCCTCTGCCTGTGGTCTCCACGTCTCTACATTCACTGTGCTCGATCCGCGCCTTATTGCTCCACTGCCACTCTGTGACGCGCACTACCGCGCACTACCACTCACCCACTATCTTTACTCCTACCTGGGCCCGTGCCCCTCAAACACAACGAGCCCCTTTTTTTCCAGTCCACTCAAAAATCGCCCAGACTGCTAGTCACACGACTGCTGCTGCAGCACCCTGCTCGCAACACTTTTGAGAGTTCACAAAAGTGATTCCACTCAGCCTGCTCGTCCCACTCCTTCCATCCTGGTAGCCTGCACAGCTCCTATCTGAACCCTTGCCAGTGATTGTCAGTCATCCCGTTCCCTGAACCTGCTTCCACAACAACCTCTTTCCGTGACACTTGAGGCGCCTCAAACACCACTCTTGCAACAGTCTTTCCTGTGCCTGCTGTGACTTTTGAGCCGCCTCAAAACCTGCTCCCTTGTGAAGCCACCCCGTCAAGTCATCCTGTGAATGCTGGCCTGTTAGAATGGTTGGCAGAGTCAGTGTGTTAGTCTGCTGCAGCCCTTTTTCGAGCTCACACAGTTGAGGGTTCAGAGACTCGCAGTTGACAGATTCCCCAACAGTCTCCCTCCTCTCAAGAGGTGCGGCTCAAAAGACACAGCAGGTGCAGCTGTCAGCTCGCAGCTGCGCCTCCCGACGACGAATTCTCCTTTCAACCTCTTTGAACTCCTTGCAACTCCTTTCAGGCCTACTTTCCCCACCCCCTCCGTCCCATCCTGTCCATCTCATTCCATTCTAAACCCCTTCCGTCTCATCCCATCTCATCCCATCCCATCCCATGCCATCCCCCACACCCCATCTCACTCCCATCTCAACCGCATCCCACTCTCACTTCCGCAGGTGGCTTTTGAAAGTCCAAGACCACCCGTCTTCCTTTTCCTATTGATCGTCTGCTGCGAATTGCTCGTACACCCCTTTTGCATTGATCGGCTGCTTTACATTCATCCCATTTTCCATCCCCTTTACATTCATCCACAGCTTTGCATAGATCAGCACAGGTACGCCCTATTTCCATGCTCTTCACACCTGTTTCTCAAGGACGAAATCTGAGGCACCTCCGAGAAAAGCTCTTCACACCTGTTTCGCAGCGGCCGTGCCATGCTCTGCTCTGGTAAGCTGGGGCCGTGGCATGCTCTGGAGCAGATTTAACAGCAGTCTGGTGAGCATGCTGAAGTGAGACGAAGCAGTGATGTATCCAGCCAGAGGGCGCTAGGGACGGCTCAGCAGCTTTCAAAGTGGTAGTGAGAGGGGGCTGTGATAGTTCCAGCCAGAGGGCGCTAGGGTATGGCTCAGCAACTAGAGGGGGCGCTAGGGTACAGCTCAGCAGCTTTCTAGTCAACATGGCAGAGAAGGGGGGTGCGATAGTCCCAGAGGTGGTAATGCCTGAGCGGAATCGCCAGCGTTGAGATTGTGGTGAATAGTGGAGATTCTTAGCGCAGCGAGATCAAGCTATGCGGGTGTGAGCTGCCCGTTATGTGATCAGTTAGGGAGTTAAGGAAGGGAGCGGAGGAGGGCCGTACAGTGGGTACTAGTGATGAGGGTGGGTGAATGAACAGGCGCTTGTTTTTTTCTCGCTTTCTGCAGCAGCAGCAGCAGCAGCAGCAGCAGCAGCAGCAGCACCGCGACCTATGCTGCTGCAGCCCCCGTGCTGCTTTTGAGGCGCCTCAGAAGTTATTTTGGTCTTGCCTGCTGCAGAAAGAGTTGATCCATGATAGCCCCCCCGTTGCCAGCAGCGCCAGCACCATCACCACCACCACCACCACCGCCAGCATTGCTGCTGGTGCCACCAAACGTGCTGCTTCCGTGCTGCTGCAGGAAGGCTGCTAGCAGTTGCTGCTGCTGCTGTTGGTTCTGCTCACTTTGTGGCAGTTGCTGCTGCAGCTGCAGCAACTGCGCTAGCTGCAACTGCTGCAAATGCTGCTGCTGCTGCTGCGGTTGCTGCCGGGGCTGCTGCTGCTGCGGCAGCGGCTGTTGCTGCTGCGGCTGTTGCTGGTGTTGCTGTTGCTGTTGCTGTTGCTGTTGCTGCGAGTTCAGAAACGAGTTCTGCTGCAGCTGCAACTGCTGACTTGCCTGCAGGAGGTGCGATTCAGTCAAGTGCTGATGCTGGGATGTTGCCATATGTCTCTGCCCATGCTGCTGACTTTGCACCTGCTGCTGGCCCTGCACCTGTTGCCTGGTGGATTGCTGATGCTGCTGCTGCTGCTGGTGCTGCTGCTGCTGCTGGTGCTGCTGATGTTGCTGATGCTGCAACGATCCCAAAGAGCCAGCAGTAGGAGCAAACGTCTGGCTGGAAAGCTGCTGCAGCAGGGCTGGGTTTCCACCTCCCCCTTGCCAGTTGCCACCTCCCCCAGACCACCCTGGATTGGATATCCGCCCCTGGGGGGATATTCCTGTTGCTGCGCCTGCTATATTCCCCACACTAACCGCACCGCCACCACCACCGGTACCACCAGCAGCACCACCACCACTAACACTGCCAGTGCCGGCAGCAACAGCGCCCTTAGCAGCACTCCCAGCACCACTCACCCCGGTCGATGACTCTTCAGATCCATTCGAATTCTCCCTTCTGGCTCGCTTTCCTTGATTCTCCAACTGTTCTCCTCTTTGCCCCTGCCCTTGCCCTTGCACCTGCCCCTGCCCCTGCACAAGCCCCTGTAAGAGAGAATTTGCCTGCCCCAAACCCTGCAGCTGCACATTACCATGCCCAGATATTTCCTGTCCAAATCCTTGCTGCCCGAACATCTGCTGCTGCCCCAACTCCCTCTGCCGTATGCCTCCTTGCCCCATTCCTCCCCCTTGCCCTTGCCCCATTCCGCCCCCATGCCCTTGCGCCACCGTCCCCCCCTGCCCCTGCCCCAAGCTCTCCCCCTGCCCCTGCCCCAAGCCCCCTCCCTGCCCCCCCTGCGCCTGCGCCAGAGCCTGCAGCAACTGTTGGCGCTGCTGGGCTTCCAGCTGCCGCTGCAGCGACAGCAGGAGTATCCGCTCTGACACTCCACTGCCCGCCCCACCTGCCCCGCCAGCCCCGCCCGTGTTTGCCACCAGAAGTTCCAAAAGAGCCCTCTGTATGGCGGGACCTGCCGCTGTTGCACCAGATGACGATGCTTCCAACTGCCCCGCTGCACTTTCTCCTGCTCCTCCTCCTCCTGCTGATGCTGCGGCTGCTGCTCCTTGGTTTGCCAGAGCACCCATTATCTGCTGCAGCTGCAGCTGCTGCTGCTGTTGGGGCTGTTGTTGGCGCTGCACTAACGATGACCCAAATTGCTGTTGCTGCTGCTGCTGCTGCTGCTGCTGCTGCTGCTGCTGCTGCTGCTGCTGCTGCTGCTGCTGCTGCTGCTGCTGCTGCTGCTGCTGCTGCTGCTGCTGCTGCTGCTGCTGCTTCTGCTGCTGCTGCAACGGGTGTTGCTGCTGCAAAGCACCTACGACAGCAGGCGGAATCCCCAAAGACTGCAGCTGCTGCAGAGTGGTGCCATCCAAACCACCCACAGGCCCTCTCATCCCCCCACCAACACCACCACCAATGCCACCGCCAATCATGCCACTAGCATCAACACCACCACCACCACCTCCTCCTCCTCCTCCTCCTTGCCCTTCCAACAGCCCACCGAACGATCCACCAACCCCCACACCCCCCCCACCGCCTAACCCTGTTTGCCCCCCAACAATCCCCCCTGCCGCAACTCCCCCCACCAACCCCCCTTCCCCACCACCACTCCCAGACACCACCACCTGAACCTGCCTCCCCTGGCCGCCTACAGAGCTTCCAGCAGCGTTAAACCCTGACCCCTGAACCCACCCAGCCACCCCTGACGCACCCACATCCCCTCCACCCCTCTCCCTCGCCACACTAATCGCCTTCTCCACCCCTACATACCCTGGCAGAGGCTGCCATTCCGTCAGGGCAGGGTGGGGGAAGTTAGTCCTCGCCTTAGGCCCGCGTAGCTTCACAGCAGCTCGGTCGTACGCTCTAGCTGCTTCTTCCGGGGTGTTAAAAGTGCCTAGCCATACGCGGGAGCGTTTCTTAGGGTATCGGATCTCGGCCACCCACCGACCCTCGTGCCGCTGCCGCACCCCCCGGAACAGCTTCGGGTCCCCGCCGCAGCTGTTGGACGCAGGCTTGGCGCTGGTCGCCGCGTTCCCCGAGTCAGGCTCGGCAGGCTGGGCCGTTCCCGAGCCTCCGGAGAGGGATTTTGAATCGGAGTTTGATTTGAGGTGGTTGGGGGGTTGGACAGGGCTGCTGCCTGCTGTGGGGAGGAGGGTTTGGGGATGAACAGACAAGGCGTTGCTGTTGTCTTCTCGAACGACCAATGCTCGTGATGCACCAGCACCAGCACCACCTGCTGCTGATGCCGATGCTGCTGCCACCGCTGACGCTGCAGGTAACGCCGGGAGCGCTGGTCTTGACACTGATGCTGCTGCCGCTGCACGTGCTGCTGCGGGTGCCGCTAGTGCTGCTGGTGCCAAGGATCCCGAGCCTCTTTCTATTCCCCCTGCAAGAGACGTGCCCCACCCAGAGGCGCCTGCAGCGCCTGCAGCCATGTGGTTGTGATTCTGAGAGAGCAAGTTCAGGGCTTTGGAAGGGGATTGATCTAGTGAGTGGTCCAGAATGGGTGCGGATGCTAGCAGGCCTGCAGCAACGCTTCCTGCTTGCTCCTCCATGCTTGGGTTTCTTGAGAACCATTGCTGCTGCTGCTGCTCCTGGTGCTGGTGCTGCTGCTGCTGCTGCTGCTGCTGCTGCTGCTGCTGCTGCTGCTGCTGCTGCTGTTGGTGCTGCTGCTGCGTTTGCTCGACCATGTCTGCACCGCCCCTCAGCCCAGCATCCCCATCCAACTGCTGATGACCCAGAAGGTGACCAAACAACTGTGGCTGCACCTCCTGCCGCCATTGCTGATCCTCCGCTCCCCTCCAGTGCTGCTCTTCCGTTCCCTTCCAATGCTGCTCCTCCGCCTGCTGCTGGCTCTGCTGCAGCAAGTGCCATTGGTTGTTCCATGGGCCTTCATTGTCCGCCATTGCGCCAAGGAGATGTGGAGGGATCTAGAACCTCTGCGAAAAGTAAGAATGAATGGGAAAGAGAGAAAATGTGGGGGGATATTCGAGCATGAAATACTTGAAACGGAGTGGGAAGAGGTGGTGGGCGCACGAGAGGGGTTGATGCTGGGCGGTGGCTTTTGCCGAGGCAGTTAGTGGTTGAAGACTGAAGCAACAACGTGAGGGGGATTGCATAGTAAAGAAGAATGATCAGAGCAGGTCTGGGATTTCTTCCATCGCAGGTATTTGCTGGGGAAGAGGAGAGGCAGCATCATACGTGGAGGTCTGGGCAATTACAGTGGTGGTGGAGGAGGAGGAGGAGGAGGAGGAGGAGGAGGAGGAGGAGGAGGAGGAGGAGGAGGAGGAGGAGGAGGAGGAGGAGGAGGAGGAGGAGGAGGAGGAGGAGGAGAGAATGCGAGGGGATTAGCATCAAGAAAGTATGTTAACGAATTTGCATGCGGAGACAGGAGTGCTTGGTTGAAGCTTCAGTCTACACAGATCGTGGTGGGGGATGAAGCGACATGCGGGAAGAATTTCATCAGAAGGCATGGCCAGGAAATTGTGGGTGGAGCCAGGAGTGTTTGGCTGAGGCATGGGGCTTCAGTTAACAAAGGTAGCGGTTAGGGACGTGGAGAGACAGTGCGATGGGAATAGCATCAAGAGAGGATGCTCAGAAATTTATGGATAATGGAGCCCAGGAGTGATTAGAGGAGGTCTGGGTCACTGTCAATACAGGCATTGGAGGTCACAGAAAGGCCATGTGAGGGGGTTGATCACGTGAGAGGGTAAATTTAAGAAGCATGACAGGTGGAGGGAGACATGAGTGATCAGAGGAGGACTGGGTCTCGGTCAACACAGGAACTGGAGGTCACGGCAAGGCCATCATGCGAGGGGGACGACATTGAGAAAGCACAACAGGTGGAGGAAGGAGGGAAAGGTTAGGGGAGGCTCGGGGTTTCTGTCAACACGGGTAGAGGAGGACACAGCTAGGTGATGTGAAGGGGGTGAATGAAGAACGCATGAGAGGAAGAGGCAGGAGTGGTTAGGGGAGGCTCGGGGCTTCTGTCAACACAGGTAGAGGTCACAGCGAGGTGATGTGAGGGGGGTGAATGAAGAACGCATGACAGGAAGAGGCAGGAGTGGTTAGGGGAGGCTCGGGGCTTCTGCCCAAGCAGGCAGTAGTGGGGGTCAAGGAGAGGCAGTGTGGGGAGAACGGCATGAAAATGGCATGAGAGGTAGCAACAAGAGTGGAGGCCTGAAGCTTCTGTAACTTTGCTGGGGGTCAAGGAGAGGCAAATGGCACGAAAAAATGCATGATGTAGAGGCAGGACTGGATAGTGGAGATCTGGGGCTTCTATCAACGTATGTAGTGGTGGAGGTCACAGAGAGACAAGGTGGGGAGAGTTTCATCAAGAGGCACATGTGGGAGGGAACATTGCCTACTAGGAGAGAAAGAGGGGGTGGGAGGGAGGGTGGGGAGGAGCAGCGATGGAGGAATGGTAGGGGAGTTGGGACTATACCCACACATGCAAGAACTAAAGGACGCCACAATGTGGGGCCCGGGGGGAGGAAGGGCGGATAGCAGAAAGGGCAGACCAAATCATGGTAACATGTGTGGGGAGATAAGGGATTTTGTGCAAAGAAAATGAGATATTTGTGTATTTTATACAAAAATGAAAGGCTGAGTGGCGCTTCTGAGACTTTGAAACGCCGTTGCCCGATGACTGGAGATGCCACCGAAAGACGATTTGGCGGGTGCTTGTGCGTGAACTTCAAAACCAATCACTACTCCGAAGCGAGGAGCGGAGGGTGCATGAATAAGATTGGGGTTGCACAGCTGTGATGTGTTGGTGTGCTGTCCTCTGTCTCTTATTTCCAAGCGCAACAATGATACTGGTTGGACTTGAAGTTAGAGCGGCAAAAAAATGGGTTTTTCAATAAACCTAGAAATTGGACGGTGGCAGCTGTGATTGCTTGGCGGAAGATGGATGGCGGAAGTTGGAGTTGAGGGATGCTGGGCGAGGACAGGTGTCCAGGAAGGATGAGGTAGGAAGGCGCGGGGGAGCAAGCGCAGGCAGGAAGATGAGGTAGGAAAAGACAAGAGTTTGACTGCTCAACCCTCGTGAGTTTCCATCAACGCCTGAGATCTACGGACAACACCGCCCCTGTCTTCGAATAGAATCCAGACTAAGAAGGCCATGCTGTTGCGCCAATTTTATCTTTGGGCTTCAGAATCCTTTACAAACCATTTCTGGTCTTCGTATATTGACAAACAAAGTGTGTCCTCAATTAACATTTGCATTCCAAAAACAACGTTAGGTGGATGGAACCTAGGACCTTTATCTGCCCGAGATAATACGATTTTTTCCAACCTACATCTTCAACGATACACTGCATGAAGAGCCAGCTACAAGTTCGTTCACGCGTGCTTCTCTGACAGATTCGGATGGCAAGAGTGTCGGTGAGTTTCACCATTATTTGACGGCAGGTGGGCCACGAACCAAATGCATCAGGGGTCTGGAGCAGCAGTTTGAAAGCAGGACATACCATGCCATGCCAGCGGTGGGTTGCTTCCATGGGGCGCTTGGATATTTCAATTTCCGGTGGCTGACCGCCGCTGCCCTTTTCAAGTCTCGGCTAGTACCTGTCAGTGTACCACATACTGTACAAAATAGAAGGTCGAGCCAGCTGGAACATCTGCTGCCAGCTATTTAGCAGAGACGAGAGAGCGTCATTTCACAGGTCCTTTGTGGGAAACACGCGACCGCCAGTCAGAGCTTACATTAGGGCGTGTCCGAAGTGACATGTCGATGGATGTCGACGGATGTCGACGATGTCGGGGTCGGTAGGTGAGAATTTTCAGGCCGGCGTTGTGTCCGAAGTGATTCGACATCCGAGCGACATTCATCCGTCATCCAGCCCTGTGTAATCATTACAGTCAAGGGTGCCGCCAACAAGTGACATCGGGCTGGTCAACGAGGCAGTCAACGAACCCAAAGTTTGATAACAAAAATTTGAGGGGGAAACAATGCGAAAGTATCTCTTGGCAAACGACCGTCCTTTGTGACTTGCACGGGGTGACGAAACATATTAGCGAAATTCGTTAGATTCCAATTTGAACATTTTACATTTTCTCTGGTCTGCCCCTGCCGGCGCCAACAGTGCCGGCCGGCATTTTTTTGGGCAGTTATGTCGCCGGCAGTGTGTCCGAAGTGACTCGACATCCAACCGTCATCCATCCGTCATCCCCCGTCATCCACCACTGACAACCATCCGATGACGGATGGATGACGGATGGATGTCGAGGGGCACTTCGGACACGCCCCCCCAAGAGGTGCACCCCTGGATCTGAGAATACTGCAACCTGCTTAGGAGTGCGACTCTCTATATTCATGTTGTTATATTGGTTACCAGTACGGTCAAACGCACCATGCACACCTGGACGCCAAGTTGCAATTAGGGAATATGGAACACGCCCTCTCCATTCTGAGAGAAGCAGAGCCCTGTAAATTTTCGATGTGTGTGCAGCATTGCCCAGGTCCCAGCTGAACGCGTTTGACACCCAAGTTGCTGGTTCGGAGGGGGCGCCATCGAATCGAGAAGTCACTTGGCTTGCATGCAACAGTCGAAAGATGACAGGTGCGGTCAAGTGCGACAACGTTCCCGGCAAACGCGGTGCCGCGGCGTACCACAACGTCACCCTCCGATTTGGGCTTGATTCACATCCATTCCCCATCGTCCCAGGTTTTTGCACCCCGCTAAACAGGGTCATTCCCAGTTGTGGAATATGGGCACACGTGAATCTCGTGATGAAAAGGGCTTGGGTTCGCGCACCTGTTTTTGCAGCGTTGCCCAGTCGACGAGGGTTCAGCTTCCAAACCAAGCTTCGTTGGGACTTGCATAAATGGCCCGACCCTTGGAGGTCCGAAACGTCAGCTTCCAGTCAACCTGGGTAGTGACGAGAAACTTCCCCAAAACTAGGTGGTAATTTTGCATATTGATCAGTCAAACAATCATGAAAACATGTATGTAGCAACTATTATGCTACAATATGCATATTGACGTAACGTTATTGCATGTTATAACTTGATATACTTATTTACAACTATATGCGTGTGCTTTCGTAAAATATGCTAAGGACGTACAATAAAAACCCTTGTGCACATGAAATAAATTTTGTTCTACTTGATATCTAGTTTATGCATTGATTTACTTACTTGCTATGATATCAGTTCGTGGTTCGACGCGCACCCGCATGATAACGGATGTCGGTGATATCGGGGTCGATCACCCGACTTTGTCTGGCCAACCTGCTGACACAAATAGGCGCGAAATTTGAATTTCCGCGGTGCGCTACACTCTTTCTCTTCCCTAGACTAGACTCACGACGAGCGAAGGAGCAACACCTTCTCCTTCCCCCTCCCCCCACCCCCCAACACTCGTCCCACGCACATCACACACCACAAACACTCAGGGACAAGCTCGAGGCTCGCTTACTTCAGCTCGAACTTCACCTAGAAGTTGCCGCCATGGTAGTTTCGGCTTTTGAAAACCAGTTCCCTTCTGAGAAGTGGAAGTCTCTTTTTAGTCGATTTCGGCTTAGGGTTCGTGACTTATCCGGTAGCCGTTGATTGACGATAGTTTGTTAGTTCTTCGACATTAGCGTCTGTATGCCTGGCTGGTCCTAGTAGATCCCGTCTACGTATGGTGCGTTTAAGAAGGCTTTTATACTCCCGTCTTTGAGCTTGTCGTACATTACCGCTTGACGATACTCCCGGCGTAACGTAGTCGATTTCTAGATTCGGCATGGATTGGCAGCTCGCGAAGGAGAACATTGGCCCACAAACCAGGGACGCCGCCGCGAAGGAGAACGTTGAGCCACGAACCAGGGACGCCGCCGCGAAAGAGTCCTTAGTAGCTGTCAACAGCGGCAACATCGAGGGGGACTATGAGAGCGAAAAAAGGTTAGGACACGTCGCGCAAGATGCTCTTCGCGGAAGTTTCGCGCCGACGTTTATCGTAGGACTCTGATGAGACGCAAATGACCGTTATTAAAATAAATAAACAACAACAACAACAAATCGGTGGCCTCGTTGCAGGTCGCTCCTCGAGGAGATCAGGAATTACAACGGCGACGATCCTTTGGATCCGTGGGACAGGTTAGAAACCAGAGGAACTATCAACTACATTTAGTTTTCATCGTTTTTCAGCACTTGCACCCGCGGTTTCTTCGCTTTTCTTCGCAGAAGTTGCATTTGCTCAAAGTCGTTTTCCTGCGCATGCAGATACATTAAGTTGGAAATTTCTTGGTCACAAACGAGCGGAGATAATTCGGAGCTGTTCGACATTCTCAAAAGCTGCGCTGAGACCTTTCTGAGGTGCGAGGAGTACAAGAACGACATTCGGTACCTACGGATATGGATTCGA